GGTCGGAAAAAGGAGACAGAGAAGCAAAATGGTTAAATTAAAGAGTTTTATTAAAGGTTCTATTAATAACTCAACTAACAGAGACTGACAAGCCACTATCACCATTTAAAGAAACAAAACAAAACTCAAGCGTCGGTCAGTAAACTGAAAAGTAAGTCAGAAAAGGGTTAGTAACTAAGCACACACCTCTCCACCAAGCAGGACCAAACAACCAGCTGCAACCACTCACATGGCACTCTGGCACCGGAGCTCTCCTTTCTCTGGGCTTAAACTTTTACTTGCTGATGGAAGGCAGCTGTACAAAAGAAAAAGGTGGCACCTAAGGCAGGACAGCTGGTAAGACCACAAAGGCAACTTCAGGAGGAGGCCCCGACAGGGCCGTAACAGTAGCAACACAAACACAACTACTTTCATCAAATATCAACTCTTTTGAATAACATGAAAAAATATGTGAACAAGGTAACTTTGAGGTCTTTCTTATTAAGTACTTTGATTTTAAAATACTAACCCAAAAATGCTCTCAGCAACATCAAAACAAAGCACTTTTATGTTACTTTAAGATACACGAATATAAATCAAAAATGAAACTGCCTGAAAAATTAACCAAGTAAATACTGACAAACAATATGTGTAAAATAAAGTACAGCCCTGCAATGTCCATCAGTAGAAAACTTTTTGTGCAACCTGAAAAAGGAAATTTACTCGTCTTCCAATGTAAATAAGTGCCTATGAGACGATGAAACTCAAACCTGACATTTTACATGTTCTAACTGATGCTCACGAACGTTTGGTACCACAGTGTGTTCAAACACTGCAGACAGAGGGGGCTGTAAGTAAAGTTTGAACAGCTGTAGGAATTAGTAACACAAGCTTTCAAATCTCGATCAACCCCATTGGTGCAGAAGAGCTTTAAACTGTGTTTAATCCTTGTTTTTATAGACAGCGGCACTTTTCATATCATGGGTATTGTCAGTAGTGCTTTGTTTTCATTTGGTGACTAATTTGTTTTGTAGTGTTCCTCTTAAACATGTTGTTACAGCTCTGACCTGTTAGTAGTGTGTAGGATGATGTCTTTTTAGAATATGAGCCACTCCACGCTTAACCTACCTGTGTTTTGTCTCTGATTCAGAATGAAATCAGAAAGGAAATGGAGAGACGGAAAGTGGGGAAAGACATGCAGGACTTCAAGAGGAAACAAGAAGAGGAGAAAACCAAGCGACTCTTAGAGGAAAGGAACAGAGAGAAGGCAGAGGAGAAGGCTGCCAGGGAACGGGTCAAACAGCAAATTGCTATGGTAACCTTATCTGCTCCGTTTGGAAGGAATACCAAAAACAATCATGTCCCCCTCAGAGAAATCTGTCCTTTGTGTTTTACATCATCAGACCTTTAGATAGTTGTTAAGTTATATATTAACTTATGCTCTATTTAGCATGTGTTGAGCTACTTACAGTATATATCTGTTTATCCCATTGTGGTCCCAGCTGTAATGGAGCGAGAGGTCAGTACACACTTGTACAGGCTGGAAGTCTGTGGAAGGGCTAACACAGAAGGTCCTGAAACACCCCTGCTGTGTCAGCTCTGTGACAGGAAAGAAAATGGATGGATGTGTTTTCATTTTGTTTTGGGTGAAACTTGAAAGAAAGGCATCAGAGCTCAAATGTGACATATTTAAAGTCTTTGTACAGTATTTTCTACATGTTGACTACACACAAAGCACACTTGTAGGAATCCTTGTCTCTTCAGTTATAACAGTTTGTGTCACTGCTGAAAAAAATGTATCAGTAAGTTGAGCGTGAAGACTTCGGTGGATGTAAGGCGCATTTTAATGGATCGTTTACATGACCCCATTGTTCACCCCTACAGAATTTTATCAAATTCATTCAAAACTTTTTCAGCTGTCTTGTTTACAGACAGAATGGCACAAGCGTAGATGCAACCAAAAACATAACCTGGTAGAGGTGATTAAGTGTAGTCATGTGTTGGATTACTGGATTACAGACATTTTAACAGATTTTCTAACATCTGTTTGAATTCCCATGCTAAGGACAGTTGTAGAGTTTACTGTGAAAGACCAAAGGTTTTGACAGTAAATTTTATTTCAGTTGTTGTAAACATCTTATCTGATATTTGAAATTTGTCCCACTCACATCCTGGGTGTAAAGGCGTCTGGGAAAGGATCTAAAAACTGGATTATAGATGGCAGACAGTTGGTGCCGTAAGCCCCACCCTCTGTTCAAAGATGGTCGTTCACAGTGGACATAGATGGCTTCTTTCACTCCTCTTTCCATCTTCTCTGTCCAAAATGTGAACACTGGCATCCTCGAAAGAGTGACCTTTGTCCTTTAGATGCAGATGGACCGCCAGGTCCATGACCCTCTTGGGGACGCTCCCATAGGGCTTAAAATCTGGGACTCTCCACCAGTTGCTCTTAGAACCAAAGAAGCTTCTCGGATGTGAGGTGAATCGTCTTCAAGGAAACTTAAAGAAGTCCAGACGCTTTTCTTTCCAAGCTTCTTAGACTTCGATGACCTGGATCACTGAGGACATTCACAGACATTCTGTTTTGCGTTCTTCACTTTGTAGCCCTCGGCTGTAAAAACCTGGTGGGGTGTTGTTGTCCCCCTGCTGAGTGAGCAATGTAGACACCCAAGTTTTTAAATGCAGTAAGTCGAGAATGATGCGATCTTGGAGCTTCAAATTAATACAATAGGTACATCTAATAAAAATCTTGGACGAGTTTGAATTTTGACCTCAACGTCAGAGTAAGTTTTCCAAAGATCTTGTGAATTTGATAACTTGAGAACAAGGTGACATAGGATTTTGAAATTAATACCATAGGTGTGTGTACTAGGGGCTGAGGGGTAGGACTGGTGACTGCCTGTATTTTTGTACTATTGGTTTTATTTAATTGGTGGCTGTAACAGAGTGATTTCCCACGTTGGAGAGAAAATACAGTGTTTTTATTTTATCCTGTTTTTTATTTATTGCAAAAAGTAATTGTTACTACAGTATTGCATTACTTTGGAATGTGTTGTGCCCAACTCTGGCTGTATCTGCTTCCTGTCTTTGTGTTTTGCAGGACCGAGCTGACAGAGCAGCGCGCTACACCAAAACACGAGAGGATGAAAAGGCTGCTAAGCTGGCGCTGCTGCAAGCCAGGCAGGCAGAAGAGGAGGCCAGGAAGGAGGCATTAGTTAGGGAGAGGAGGTGAGTGGACCATTTAAATTTAAGAAGTAATGTACAGCAATCACATGCATTATTGAGTCAACTGATAGGTGAAGCGAACAATCTCTTCACATCCCTTTTAGAGTCAGACTGATTTTTAAGACTGATGTAGATATTTGGTCAGTTAAAATTTGATATGTGAACCAATATTTTTCCTTTCAAACTAATAAAACCTAAATATCTCCTCAACATTTGTTGTGTAGTTACATATGAGTCCTTAATAAGATGACAATGGTATTTAAAAATACGTTTCTTTTATTGTCACAAGTTGTCGATTACTTGACTGACTGTGCTTGGATCAGCTGCTTTTTGTGATTGTGGCGTTCCAAACCAACATGGAAGTTGCAAAGTGCCCTCTGGTTGACAAACTATACAGTATAATATGGTTGAAGGGTGTTTATCCAGTCCTTTTTTTACTTTATTAATTTTCTCATACCAATATATTGTCAAATAGCCAATATTGGCCTTGAGCTCTAATGACAATCTGAATGAGCATCCACAAAACCCACACAGAGCCCAAAAGATCCACTGCCAGTTTGAGCATTGCAGCTTAAGTAGGGGCACTGAGAGGAGATCCAGCATTATATGGTAAATTGACTTCTTATATAGCACTTTTTCTGCTCTACCTGAGCACTCAAAGCGCCTTGTACACCTTGTTTCGTTCACCCATTCAAACAAGCACTTTTTTTCTATACTTTTCTGTGTAAGTGTTCTCTATCTAACAGTGCAGCAAAAAGTTGCTGCTTTTTAATCACTGTGAGGGAGGGAGAGTGTACTTTATGTGTCTGAAAATGTGAGGAGTAGTTGGATAACAACTCACGCATTTCAGTTTGTGTAAATGTGAAGGTCTCGCCTCGTCACACCACCGCCACCGCTGAAAGCCTTCTATAAGTGATGTCACCAATGGATGGATGTTGCACGTATTACACAACAAAAGTGAATGAGACACGAGGCAATTACAGAAGATTAAAAAAATGAATTCAAAAAACTAATGTGAAAGTGGAGAAATTATGTGTGTTTTTGTTTTTAGTGCAACTATAAAGTAGTATCAAAAATGTATCAAGGCTGGGTTCACAAGTTGAGTTTACTTTAGCCCACATGGAGTTTCCACAGCTTGCATTATTTCAATAGATAAACTAATATTATAGCAATTTGCTAACTTGAATTGTTAAAAGTCAATATAATGCATATCGAAAACATGACTAATTCATACGTGTACAATAC